AATGAAAATATAGTCGTTATTGGATCCCACTCGTCTAATAAAAGTCAATAATTTCAATTTTAATCCCGTTTAAATTAAAAAATAGAAGGGGCGGGGTTAAAAGGTACTTTAAAATAATTCCTTTTTTGTTTTTTAGAAATTAGCCAAACATGGTCTAAGAGACACAAAACCCTAAACCCTGATCCCTCCCCCTCCCCCCCAATCTCCATGAGTTTCTAACTTTCACTAGGTCACCTCCACCTCAGCATCCGCTCCTTCTCTGTCTGCACGAAAGCGAGACGGAAAGGAGCTGACAATGGTGAAGTCATATCTTCGGTACGAGGCGGCGGCATCTTTCGGAGTTATAGCATCGGTTGATTCTAACATAACCTACGACAACTCCGGCAAGCACCTCTTGGCGGCGGCGCTCGAAAAGCTAGGCGTATGGCACGTTCGCCAGGGCATTTGCACAAAAACTCTAGCTCCCTCTCCTTCCTCGTCGCTTGGCCCCTCCCTCGCTGTCACTTCCATTGCCTCGTCTCCCTCGTCTCTCGTATTCTCTCGTTCTCCCTCTTTCCTTCTTTAATGCGTCTGTCAAGGATGCTTATAACTATGGCTATGTACTTTTGATGCCTTAATTAGTAGAAGTTTAATTTTAACTGTTTTATTACGTAGGAGCAAACTGTCGTTTCTTCACAGTTATACATAGCTTGATATGATTATAGGAGAACTTTTTCCAAAAGCTTGCACATTGATAATTTCATGTAATGCTATAAATTTGAGTGTTATGGATTTATACATAATTAAAATTGAGAAAATGCAAAAGTGTATATTCTATTTATTTGTAGCTTTGAAGCATCACGGGGCAACAAAGCACTTTAATTCATAGTTATGTATGTCCAGTGGGTTTTTATGAGAATTTGCTTTTGGACTAAGTGAGATTTTGCAAATGAAATCTATTATATTTCATAAATATCAGATTCAATTTCTGCACAAAAATTATGTACGTTAACCTAACTTTTTATTTATTGTCCTCTCTTTATGATATTTATCTTTGCCAAGAATTGACGCCAAGACAATTTTCATTTTTTGTTTTAGTTCTCTTTTTTATTCTAGATCTAGAAGTCTAATTTTGATGCCTTTTTCGCTTGATAGTTTTTATTAAGGGATAAATCCCAAATTGACTTGATTACCGAAATATAGACCAAGATATAATGGTTTGGAGTACTCCTCTTAATAAGATTGACTTTTAGGATAGACCCCGAGTGACTCAATGTGAAATCAGAGCCCATTAAACTTAGACGAGAAATTTGATCCGATTAAAACCAAAAAATGAGCACAAGGATTTCAAGATTAGTACGGTTAAACGAGCAATCATCTTGCGGGGTATGTTAAGGAATAAATCCCACATCGACTAATTATTGAAATATAAACTAATATATAAAGTTTTATGCCACTTCTCTTAATAAGGTTGACATTTTAAAATGGACCCTAAATCTTAATAGCCTACTTTATTGCTTATTTGAGAATAGATTATAATATGTTTAAATTATAAATAGATAGAAATAAGTGGTAAATGAGTGGGTAGTACCTGTGACTCTGTGAGTCCCATGAAATGCGTGGATAAAAAGTAGGGTTGACCGATTATATTTAATAATTAAGTAGGTGACAAACAAGGGCTTAATCATAGAGAAAAAAATAGATAGATGTCATATGCCAGGTTAGAAAGTTAAGGGGGTTTATATTTTTGCATTTCCCAGTTTGTTGTTTGAACTACATATTAATATGAATATTTGTTGGATTCATTATGGACTATAGTTGAGGAAAAAAATTGATTCAACCCAGGAAAGGTAGTTGAGGTAAAAGTTTGATTTTAGTTGATATGTTGGAATATAGCGAAGTAATGAATGGGATTGGTTTTGCAGATAGCTTGTGGCTATGCTGATGGTAGTGTAAGAATATGGGACACTGAGAAAGGAACATGTGAAACTACTTTGAATGGACATAAAGGCGCTGTAACGGTCCTCCGGTACAACAAGGTTGGATCTTTGCTTGCTTCTGGAAGCAAAGACAATGACATTATTTTATGGGATGTGGTTGGTGAGGCTGGACTCTTCCGTCTTCGTGGGCACCGTGACCAGGTAGTTTTATGAGCTTTACTCGTTTTATATTTTCTTATTCTGATTTGAAAGCTGTAAAATTTTGTTTTTCTTTCACCATTTTCATGGAGCTGAATTATAATGTTTCGTCTTTTACCTACATATTGCAGGTTACTGACCTTGTTTTGTTGGATTCTGGTAAAAAACTGGTTAGTTCATCCAAAGACAAATTTTTAAGGGTCTGGGACCTTGAAACACAGCATTGCATGCAAATTGTTAGTGGTCATCATAGTGAAATTTGGTCCATTGATGTTGATCCGGATGAAAAATATCTGGTCTCTGGGTCTGCAGACCCTGAACTCCGATTTTACATGATAAAGCATGATTTGGCTGATGGAAAAACTCCACTGGATAAAAATGAATCTGATGCTGGTAATGGAAATACATCTGCTCAGAACAAATGGGAAGTTTTGAAGCATTATGGTGAAATTCAGAGGCAGAGCAAGGATAGAGTTGCTACAGTTAGGTTCAATAAGTCTGGAAATCTGCTGGCCTGTCAAGTTGCAGGGAAAATAGTGGAGATATATCGGGTGTTGGATGAGTCTGAATCTAGACGTAAAGCAAAAAGAAGAGTTAATAGAAAGAAGGAGAAGAAAGCTTCTAAAGGGGCAGGTGAGAC